GCCTTTGCCGTAATGTGTTTTGGGCGAGATAGCCATGTGATGTGAGTATCAGTCACCTGTGAGCGATAGCCATGTGATGTGAGTATGAGTCACCTGTGAGCCATAGCCATGTGATGTGAGTATCAGTCACCTGTGAGCGATAGCCATGTGATGTGAGTATGAGTCACCTATGAACGATGGCCATGTGATGTGAGTATCAGTCACCTGTGAGCCATAGCCATGTGATGTGAGTATGAGTCACCTGTGAACGATGGCCATGTGATGTGAGTATCAGTCACCTGTGAGCCATAGCCAGGTGATGTGAGTAAGAGTCACCTGTGAACGATGGTCATGTGATGTATCAGTCACATGGAGGCAGGACATAAAAGCCTGAATTTTGCCTGAAACTCTCAGACTGAAGAAGACTCTTGGAAGAGAGACGAAACGTTTCATTAAAGAAGAACCCGTCCAGAGGACCTATACAAGTTTTTTTCCTCAAATTTCAGATCTTACTTAAACAAATGAAGACAGCTGAGATTAATGGGACAAGAAACAGGTGTGATTGGGCCTGGTTTATGGGAAGATTGGACACAGCTGAGTTTAATGGGACAGAAAGTAGGTTTTATTGGGGGCTACGTTTTGAGAAGATTGGAAGGAGCTGAGATTAATAGGACAGGAAACAGGTATGAGGGGGCATGGTTGATTGAAGACCAAAAACAATTGAGCCTAATGTAATAAACAGGTGTGATTGAGCCTGTTGACAGACCTACTTAGACTCACCATGGCCCATGGTCCATTGGCTATTTTAGTCATCTCTGTAAACCATCGAACAACCTTTTTGATGGTTTCATCTTCGTACTCATAACGGGTCCCAAACAGAACCTTACAGATGATGTTGGAGGCTGCATTATGGAACATCACCTGAGGACTCATAATTTTACCTGTACACAGATTTAAAAACAGAACATCACACCAACAGCATAACCAAAAGCTTCAAATATTTTCAGATGTATTAAGCACCAATGCTCTTTTCCAGTGTTTTAACGGTGAACTGAATCTCTTGATGAATTCTCTCCTCCATGGATTTCTTCCCCAGACCAAAATTTCTCAGAGTCATCACTGCAAAACGACGATGTTCCTTCCAAACAGGCCCATAATCGACAAAAGTTACTCCTACAACAAGCACAGTCACAAAACAAAGAGCGTTTACCTGCTGCAGCTAATTAACTTAATTGTAAGGGTTTTTTTGCAAGTGTTTCTTAATAAGTCTTCATAAATTTACAGTCTTTTCTTGCTTCTGGTACAACTTTGTCGAGATGTATTCCCAACCAGCACACGTATGGGGGCCCAATATTGCATAAATAAGGGTAAGTAACAGGGGTTCTATCCAAATTAGTTTGCAGGTTCCATGGTAGCCCTACATGTCTTTGCCCACCTTGACTTTAATGGGTCCTGACTGGGTTTTTGTATCATTATTCTTCGACAGCTACAAGCTGTGGTGGACATGAAGCTAAGGGACGAGCAAGCTGGCTTCAGGTGTGGCCGATCATGCGTACAGCAGATCTTTGTCCTGCAGATCATCATTGAGCAGAGCCTGGAAAACTAATAACGGCTATCAGTCAGCTTTGTAGACTTCACCAAAGCTTTCGACAGTGTCCATAGGGAGACACTTTGGAAAATTTTAAGGTCGTATGGAATTCCTGAACAGTTGGTCCAAGTTTTCCAAAACCTGTACCTCAACTCGAGCTGCTATGTACAAACAGAGGAAGGAATAACAGAGTTCTTCGCCATTGAGACCGGTGTGCACCAGTGGTGTATAGTTTACCCCATCCTATTCCTCCTAGTCATTGACTATATTCTGTGCAGGACCATGGATTGAGCAGATTTCTGAATAACGTGGACCGAATCGGTCCAACTTACGGATATCGACTTTGCAGATGACGTTGCATTTCTTGGGACAACAAACAAGAGCATCATTGACATGACCCAGAGCCTTGATGGAGGATCAAACAAGGTCYGACTCCGGATTAACATCAAGAAGACCAAGATCATGAAAACTAGGTACGCCATGGCTGGCACCCCTGCCACTATGGTACCACACCAGATTGAAGGAGTGCAAAGGTTCACATACCTGGGCAGCATTGTAACCAACAATGGTGATGCAGAACACGATGAGGCATGCTGGATTGTGAAGGCGGGAGCTGTTTTTCAGCAGCTCCGACAAATTTGGGTGTCTAAGACCATCAGCACAGCGACAAAGATCCACATTTTTAACTTGATTGTCATCCTAACAGTCATATACGCACGTGAAACATGAAAGACTTCTTCAAAGATTGAAAGAAGAATGAACGTTGCCCAGCAGCGGTGGTTATGACAGATCCTGCAAGTCTCATCCTGGGACCACATCACTAACAACGAGATCCATCGCAGATAAGCCACCTGTCCACTGAACAACATTGTGACAGAGCACCGACTAAGATTTGCTGGACATGTCCTCTGTCAGAAAACAACATGCCTACCGAAAACCACCATCCAGTAGATATCAAAATGGGGGGAAGCGGAAACGAGGGCATCCCCGACAGAATTGGCGCTGTAAATTCCACGAAGACCTCAAGGCCCTATATTAGCCAAGACGAGGGTGGTTGCAATTGATCGACCCCAATGGAGATGTCTTGCCGCCCAATGTGCCAGATTTTCAGTGGGAGCCAGATGGTTTACTTGCATCAGGCCCTTCTATGACCATTCTGTGTATAGAGTCTCAGCTGAGTTAGAATCTGGGGAACAAGTGGATATGTCCACAGCTTCCATGGTGGCTGTATCAATCACCTTTATTTAACCAGGTAGAGCCCGTTGAGATCGAGATCTCTTTTACAAGGATGACCTGGTCAAGTTGTCATCAGCACATGTCACACAGTAATTGACAAAGCATTTGCATTGATCAAAACGAAATAAGGAAAGAGAAAAAAGAAAAGAAAACTACAATCACGATAAATAGATGTTGACAGTTCAGAAACATCTGGATAAGACAGAATTCTATTGGTATTTACAATATTTGGTAGACCTGAAAAGAAATTTAGGTGAGAAAAAAATAAGTCAAGGAATAAAAACAGACTGACATCGTTTGAGGAGATATAATTAAAAAACCGACAGTGACATGTATAATGGATAGGTAATGTTTAGAAACATCTGCAACGGTCAAGTTTCTTGATGACATTATCTATTACGGTTGACATGAAGGATCTAGGAGGGATGAATGTTGACAGTTTCAGATCTGTCTGTAAGTTGTTCCAGGTTGAGGGGGCTGCGAAGCTGAATGCTCTTTTTCCTAGTTCAGTTCTGACTGGAGGCACTGATAGGAGGACTAGGTTGTTAGAGCGCAGGGAGTAATGACTGTGTGTTGTTTGTATTAAGGAGGTAAGGTATAACGGGACTAAGTTTATTAGGGTCTTGTAGATGATGGATATCCAGTGGGTATATCTGTGGGTGTTGAGATATGTCCAGCCAGATTTGACGTAAAGGTCACAGTGATGAGTCTGATAAGTGGAGTCAGTAATGAACCAAAGAGCACTATGGTAAATGGAGTCTAAGCACTGGAGGTATTTTGATGCAGCACTCGTGTAGAGCACGTCACCATAATCTAATATTGGCATGAATGTAGCAGCTACTATTATTCTCCTTGCTTTGCATGTGAAGCAGGATTTGTTTCTAAAGAAGAAGCCTAGCTTCAGTTTGAGTTTAGAGGCCATTTTGAAGATGTGTGTTTTAAAAGACAGGTCACTATCAATGTAGAAACCTAGGTACAGTATTTGTAGGTGGAGACCATTTCTATTAGATTTCCCTGTTTGGTTTTGATTTGAGGTGGGTTCACTGATTGCTGTTTTCTGTTGGATAAGACCATGATCTTGCTTTTTTCAGTATTTAAGACCAGTTTAAGTTTTTACAGACGTGACTGAATGATATTTAAAGCGCCCTGAAGAGAGGTGAAAGCTTGGCTGAGGGAGGATGAACAGCAATAGAAGATGGTGTCATCTGCATAGTAATGATGGGAGGCGTTTGACAGATTGCTGCACAGGTTGTTGATGTAAAGAGAGAAAATAATTGGACCCAGTACAAAACCCTGTGGCACCCCTTTCACAACATCTAAGAAGGTAGAGGAGGATCTAGCTACATGAACAGACTGTATTCTGTCAGTTAGGTAGTTGGTGAACCAGGAAACTGCATGTTTTGATAGATCAGAGTGTTCCAGGATGTTTGTAGCCTGTGATCAATTGTTTCAAATGCTTTGGATAGATATATAAATAGTGCAACACAGTATTGTTTGCAGTCAAGGGCATGAATGAGATCATTTAGTACTTTTAGAACTGTGGTAACGGTGCTGTGTTGTTTTCTGAATCCTGACTGAAATTGTGATAAAATATTGTTTGATTGTGGGAAATCAGTTAACTGATCGCAGATGAGTCTTTCAAACAGTTTGGCAAGAATGCACAATTTAGAAATTGGTCTGTAGTTGTTAACATCAGTTTGTTCACCCTCTTTTAGCAGAGGGAAAACAAAAGCTGATTTCCAGATTTTTGGTATTGTATTTGTGTTGAGGCTGAGATTAAAAATATATGAAAGTGGTTCGGCAATGAAATTTGCAGCTAATTTTAGGAAAAATGGTTCTATGTTGTCAGGTCCTGCTGCTTTGTGGGTATCAATAATTTTTAAGAGCATTTAGAAACTCAGAGGGAGATACAGGGGGAAACTCAAAGCGATTTGAGACTGGTTTATCTATCACGTGTGGAGTTGGGGGTGGATTTGTATCAGTTTGGTCTGAAGATAACATTTCTTGATATGTTGTTTCAAACAGGGAGCCAGAGGATATGAAGTGTTCATTAAAACAGTTAAGAATTGATGATTAGTCTGACAGAATACCAGAGCTGGTCATAATGGAGCTGGGTAAATCAGTTGTTGTTGTTGTTGTTTGACCAGAGTTTGATTTTACTGTTTGCCAGAACTTTTTTGGATCATTTAGATTTATGGTGGACTCGTCCAGGTAGTAATTCGATTCAGCGTTTCTAATTTGGGTTGTGCATTTATCTCTGAGCTGCCGGAAAATGATCCAATCACATTCATTTTTTGATTTTTTGGCCTTAGCCCAGGCAGCGTCTCTTTCTTTTAGCAGGTTTCCTATCTCGGGGGAAAACCAAGGATTTTTACGTCCCTTTATTCTATATTTATGGTATGGAGCATGTGTGTTGATTATGTTTTGAAAACCCTCATGAAAGTAAGTCAGTGCTGGTTCTACATCATCAATCAATGAAATTCTACTCCAGTTAAAAGTAGCTAGGTCATGAAGAAAGGCCTGCTCACAGAAATGTTTTGGATCCCTTTCAAAGATTATGGTGGGTTTACTTTTTGGTCATTTTCCGTTTGTTATGGCTGCAATGATGCAGTGATCACTGAGGTCATTAGCGAACACACCTGTACCAGTAAACTTGTGAGGCATGTTTGTTAGAATAAGGTCCAGTAAGGTGGATTTTTCAGGGGTTTTTTTATTTGGACGTGTTGATGTTTGAATTAGTTGTGTTAGATTAAAAGATTCACAGATGTGTTTAAAATTGTTAGATGTACAGTAGATGTCAACCAGTCCAGGTTTAGATCACCAATTAGTAGAAGCTCATTAGTGTTTAGCCCCATCAGAAAATTTCTCAAGGACGTGAGGACCTCACTGGAGGCTGAAGGGGGTCTGTAACAACCCACCACAATGATTGACTGACCGTCAGGGAAGTCTAGTTTTAGCGCCAACAGCTCAAGCTGTTTGCTAATGAAAGATGCACCAAGCTCTTAGATCCAAGGTAGTTGTTGTTTTGGGAAGAAAAGTCATGAGGAACCAGTTTGTGAGCTTGATGGACTTCCATGAGATTGTGCCTGAATCCTGTGAGGTCAGTGGGAGGGAGGGCCTATCAGTTTGAATACATGTATTGTTTTCCAAATTGAGTCCTGCAGACATGATGGCCAGGGTGAGAGTCACAAAAGATAACATTATCATTAATACAAAAGAAATGGAGAGAGAGAGACGTCCAGCTGAAAACAAAATGGAGATTGAGAAACAAAATGGAGTTTGAGAGGTAAAATAGGATTAAAGAAACAGTTTTCTCTCCAGAGTCAAGATCCAAAGATCATTTGATCCCAAGTAAAGTGGTTTACCCACATAGAAACTTCAACTGCAACTAAAACATTCAAGGCAATAAACTTTCGCAAAATTTTAAATGAGCTACAGTAACATAAAACTTAAAACTACCTTTACATTTAATAAAATTGTACAATGTTTTGGTTTTCTTATTTTATATGTGCACTATGTTTCAGTGTGAATAATTATGTTTAAACAATGTCCAACCTTTGTCAAACTTGTGTTTGACTGCTTTTTCATCTAAAGTGATTTTTAGCACAATAAATGCTCCTAATGGGGTTTTGTAACATTCCCTACCTTTACGCTGAAATACATCACCAGTTAACATGTCTTGAGGTCGACCAGCGTAGTCTGTAGCTTTAACCAACATGGCCTCCTTCATGGCCTTCAACCCATTGATGACCACAGCTGGTCTGGTACCAAGGAACAGACTGTAGACATTTCCATAGGTCTGTCTGAGCTGCAAGAAAACCAAACAAAAAATACATCAATTTCTAAAGAAACGAATATATTCCAATCTGTTCTGAGGGAAATTAAACAGCAGAGTTAACTATGACCCCCGCACACGAAGCATTAGCGGGAGTCATTGTTTTCGTATTTTTTTTTTTCAGTGATTTTTGGTCAACTGTAGCGCAAAAACGGCTGCACCGATCAACATGAAATTTGGCAGGACTGTAGGTGAGTCTGACCTACATTGCGCCAGACAACGGTTTTACGACACACCCCATATTTGAGGAGGGGGCTCCTTTCAAAGAGGGGGTTTCTGGACATGCAAAAATGCTTATAACTCAAAAACTATTCAACATAGAAGCTTCAGATTTCTTTTGTTGTTTAGCTCTGATAAAGCTCTATCCATCGGGTCAACCAATGCCACACCCACAAAAAAAAAAGACCTCCACCGAAGCCACTACAATTTTGGGATGTATCTAGTAGCATGACATTTATTAGGAATAAAGACTTTTGAGTTCTGGTGCATTTGTGCGTGCGAGGGTCATTATGTTACCGCCACGCGGTAGCTAGCTATTTTCTGTTTTTATTGTGGTAGTTAATTTAAATAACGAGTTGATCATAAAATCACATTAAGTAAAAAAAATAGTCCAACTTATTCAGCAAATTGCATCACATTTGGGGTCAAAGGTCAAATGACTGCGGACTCTTTGTACCCAGATTTTCTGGGTGTGATACCAAAACAGCCAAAGTCCAACAAAACACCCACTAAAAGGCCTTCTGACAACACAAACAACTCATGACCAAAATACTTGTAAAAATGAGGGATGAGTTTATATTTCATTTAATTTAATTTTGATATTCTGCCTTTTGATAATTACTTTTTAATAATTTCTCTGCAAACAGATTCAAAATATTAAAACTGAGGGACAGTCCATTCTTTAAGGCAACATAAAATCAAAGAGTTATCAGTGCAAATAAAACCAAATGTTCAGATTCCACTGCCATAAAAAATTTTACAGTTTAAATT